ACAAAATGACTAATAAACTGGTGGATGTCCCAACTACTAAGTACCTAATACCAGCCCAGAAGAGAACAAGAAATAGCCATGCATTCAAGTACCAGAGTTATCAACCAAGGATTGAGGTGTTCAAGAATTCATTCTTTCCTAGAACTATCGCAGAGTGGAACTCACTGTCACCAAGTACAGTAGGGGCATTGTCAATAGATAGCTTTAAACAATGTCTAGAGCTAGAAGTTCAAGGGTTAGGTGTAACAAGTCGATCGGTGTAATATAGCCAGCTGCCGCCGCGCCGCGTGCCTGCGAAGCTGGTGTGTTACGCCGAAAGGCGGTTATACCGGCTATACAGATACAGATACAGATTTTTTGTCATTTCTGAAATATCTGGGCTGTAGGATTATTTGACTTTATTAATTGTTTTTTCCTGGAAATTCGAATATTCCTGCTGTGCCCTGCTGTTAAAACTTAATTTTCAGCAAGTAAACCTCACCTGTAGTGAAAAAAAGAAGTAAATAAACACAAATTTCTTTCTATATTGCAATAAAATGCTACTTGGACTATGCAGAAAAGCAATTTTGAGTGGGTCAGTCTTTTTATTTTTTTAATTATTGCTAATTAAAAATGCACTTTTCACACCTGGTGGCACACCTGTTTACACTGCCCAGCAACTTTGAAAGTCCATATCTCGGGAACGATAAGTCCGATTTTCGTTCTGTAACTTTCTTTTTTTAAGGTTTAACATCCTCTATCTGAAAATATTTATGTCTTGATTCCTTTGGATACATAATTATTTTTCAACTGGAAACCCGACTAATTGGGAAATTTTCCAGTTTCTGAAATAATTCCCATGCCACTTTTCCATCTGGTATCCTTCCTTGTACTAGTAGGAACATTATATAGTTTTACTGAGAAGAGTTGGAGAAATGTTGTGTAATATTCTTTGTTTAAGTTAAATTAGAGTCAATTCCGCGTCACCATGAGGGTTGTTATTGTCATTATTTAGAAATGCTTTCAATTCCTTGTAATTGTTTGTCCAAGGAATTTTATCATTTGCAAATATATCTTTTCAAGATTCTAAATATTTCCAAGGTTGTAAAAAACTTGAAATCTACTATTTTTACCATTATTTCGAATTCTTTTCAACATTTTCTAAATTGCTCAGTGGACTGGGAATAAAGTAATTCACACATCTAAGTCCATAATGTCCAAACTCCCTCGGCGTGTCATCCCTCTATTCTGGCCAATTTCCAATCTTTCCAGTCCCGTTCCAAAAGTGTCCGAAGCCTGGTAGAGGCTAGCATATTCCTTTGAACTCCGCGGACAACTGTCGACAAGCCCAGAAGTTTCCACTTCCCCTTCGCGGAGCCCATTCGTTAAGCCTCTTCGAGTCTGAGCCTCAGTTGAAGATGTGTGGCGGAGAAATTTGTCCTCTACTTTTCTCAAGATTATATCAGTTTAGTTTGTCGGCGCTGTATCCTCAATACATACCAGGTATGTATAGAATTCTTGCTACCTCTCAAAGTACCGAGTTGGCACGAAAATACGTCATTTATGTACGTGAATTGTACCAAAGCATCTTTGAAAATCTATGTTGCCCGGATCTCAGTCACAAGAAGGTTGAAGAAAAAATGGGAAAAATTGCCCGCTTTTTTGGAATTAGATTCAATGTTAAGTTTTATTTCGGCCCTCAAATCAGAGATAGCGCGAGAAGTAATATCGCAAGCAACTTCTGATGAGTCGCAAGACGTACCCACGCCCCGGCCCAGGTCCGTACCAGTCAAGAATACCTACCAGTCCCCGGGCCGGGCGGACCAGAACCAGGATCCACGCACAAGGGCCTTCCGTGAGCCACCAGAAGTTCCACAAGAATGGCCACAAGAAAGGGTTCATTTCCCTGGCCACGGAAAATGCTGTGGCGTGACTTATGGTGAATTGATTTACCAATCTTTGTCCACGGTTATGTAAAAAAAAACCTGATCGAGTCTCATACTCGTAAAGTGTCCCGTGTGGTGGAAGATAAGTTAAGTCATCTGTCAGATCTGATGTTTGACGCAGTTTACCATGATTGGGTCACAGTTAGAGAGCTACATGCAGCGATCCTGTACGGGTTGGAACGGGGGACGCTGACTTGGATTCCGACATGTTTGACACATGCAGAGACAGACATTACCGTACATACACAGGGTAGTGTTTCGCGCGGGAATGCTCAGGGGGCGGAGCTACCGACGGGTACACGTGCTACAGCTGGCTCCTCCAGACAACGCTATTGTGGCGGTTTTTAGTTAGGATCATGTTCCCTACAATCTGGGCACTGGAGTTCGAGATGGAACAGTAATGTACTTCATGTCTGCAGTGCTTGTCTAGTGTAGTGCAACACTTCCACGTGATATCCGCCCTTACAGCGAGGAGTCCTTCCTATTGCTGTCGGTTGTTCTGGAAAAGTATAGAATAAACTTTTCCCAGTTTTGGCCACCCTGCGTCTTGAATCTTTATCGATAGATAATTAGCTATGATCAGACTGTCAGACGACTTCTGGTTGACAACTTTCTGTCAGTAATAACCGTAAAGTGTATCTTGAGCAAAATCCAAACATGCATAGTTTGTTTTGTGGTGCCATTTATGTTAAAAGACGGGCTCATGGGAGGTCTTTTTTTTGGGGGGGGCTACTATATATGTATTTGATGTAAGTTGCAGTTTTGTGAAGAACTACGGTAAGGCTCAGACAATAAAAACAGGATAGCATTCTACTGTGGTTTGCGTTGTTACATTTCTGTGGAGAAATCGGTATGTCGATGTTTGAGTAGGGGGGACGTAACTTCAAGCGTTCTACAAACCCCTACAAGAGCCTCGTTCAAAATATCATTCAATTTTACATTACAGCAAAACTGACAGAAGCTTTCCAAAGCCTACCAGTCAGGATTAAAGTGAAAAACCACCAGAACCTTGATCTGTCCACAATGCTACATGTGCTCCAAGACGAGGCCAACAGAGACCACACAGCTGAAGACTTCTCCATTTCATCATGTCACATGGGATACAGGGCAATGTGTTTGCCACTGATGGCTTTAGTGCTGAACTCATTGATATCTTTCCCTCTTTAACGGGAACCAGTGCCTCTCTCTTTTCGGTAAACCCAAGCTGTTCTTTTCCAGGCTTGTCAGGGGGATAAAGACCAGACTGTAGCTGAGTGTGCTTATTCTGATTCAAAGCCCTCACCCTCAGCCATTCTAGCACATCTCTCAACAGAGGCTGATTCCTTTCTTGCTCGAGCTACAGTGCCTGGGATTGTGGCATACAAGCGGGAGGATGCGCTGACTTTGTGAACGTTCTGGCGAAAGTGCTGACAGAACATGGAAACTCCCAAGACCTGATGCGTATGATGGCTACAGTAATTGATGAACTAAACAAGGAGCACGAGCACAGTCCATTCTGCTGCACGACACTCAGGCACAAACTGCTCTTCCATCCTATCTTTTACCCATATCACCCTATTCAACCATTGGTTTTGGGGTCTCAATCACCATCTTTTGGTTAACGATCTTACTCACAACCTGTCTCATTAAAGTTTTTTGGACCTACTCCCAACTACTCTAACTTTGACCTGAAGTAACTGATTCCCATCACGGA